TATACTGAGCAAAAGAGATAAGAGGATTTTTGTATCTATAAGTTCACTTCATTAGCATAAGATAGACAGTTATGAAAAGATGACTTTTGATTCACCTTACTTGGATTATAAAATGTGAGGTTGGATTTAAGCCTACCATATGGATAAGGGATCAATTTAGCCCCGAAGTGTCTTTTGGAAGCTCCCATGAAAGGCATTAGAAGTTTTGTGAGCATATTAGAAGGCAAACTTGAGGCCTAAGTATGCATATTCAGCAGACCTGTCTAGATCCTCAGCTCTAAGAAACTAAAATAGATGAAGATGTGCCTCCTAGGAACTAACCGCACTATTATTCAAATGGAAATAAAAGAGATGCACGACTCCAATGGCAGAAATGCAGCAAACTTCCCACATTACAATCCACAGGCTGAGCACGAGGTGGCACTTGACAGTTTAGAAATAGGAATGTCCTCGTTTGAAATGAGTTTGATTCCAAGAGTTTTTCAAACTGGGATTTTAAGAACTGAGCCCCTTCTCCCCTTGAAATATTGGAAACTGTTCCTAGGAACAGAGTACAGCAGGGAGCTCACAAAAGCCCACGCACCCTGGAAGTAAGTTTAATCATGGTACTAACCTAGTGTTGGACCTGGAAGAGGAGGTCATTCACATATGATGAAAATCAGAGAAGACATGCTTCCTCGGTTTTTCTTTTGCTAGGCCAAATTTAGATCTTGATAGGAAGAAACAGAAGTCAACTTTGCCCAAGTCTTTCTCCCTGTACTGACCTACCCTATAGTCTTCTCCACAGGTCCCTCATGTCACTACAGTGCTTGTCACCCCCACCCTGGACAGATATTCCTTCCTGACCTTCAAAGTACACCACATTTCCAAATTACCTATCTTTCCTAACCCTTCAAATCTCGACACCAAGATATAGCTACATCTCTTACTGTCTCTGTGACTTTGGGCAATTTAAGTTATCCAACCCTCTACCTGTCAAATAAGGGTGACATAGCACTAATAGAGCTAATCTAAAAATCAAGTGAAAAAATGTATACGTTACGCATAACACACCCAACACTCCACAGGTTCTCAATAATACAATAGCAGCTTATTATTACATTGGTTATTTAAATTAAGTAAACCAAGCACTTTGTATTTTTTAATTTATTTTTATTTATTTATTTTTATTGTTGAATTTTTTAATCCCCACCCAAGGATATGTTTATTGATTTTAAAGAGAGAGAGAAACATTAATGTGAGAGAGAAACATTGTTTGGTTGCCTCTCGCACACGCCCCACCTGGGGATGGAACCCACAACCTACATATATGCTCTGACTGGGAATTGAACCCACAACCTTTTGGTGTACGGGACGATGCTCCAACTCACTGAGGCACCTGGCCAGAGCAGTACTTTGTACTTTTCAAAAAACTATACAAATGTATAACCTATTACATTAAATGGTTATTAGATATGAATTAACATTTTAAATGTTTAAAAGATAGCCAATTCTCATCTCTCTTCATCAAATCCCTAAAAAAAATTAGTTTTCCTAACACACTCAAAATGCATCTGACTACCCCCTACAAATCCTACCTGAGACCCCCACCATTGGTTAAATAGTCTCAAAATTTAAACCTGTCTCTACATGCATTAAAAAAAAAAAGATTAGAAAGATGACTATAACCCTCAAAATAAATTACCATTTAAAAATTTTAATGCTGCAGTTTTACTCAATGTTTTAAATAACCTAAATCACAATATACTCTTTTTTATATTAAGAACAACAACAACACACAACAAGGTTTATTAACTGTTACTTCAAATCCTCAAATCTACCAGTAATATTGATTAACAGAAAAGGTCATCCTGAAAAGTACCACATTTGACTTTTTATAAGTAGAAATACTTACAGAGAGTAAAAATAATAGTGAAAACTACACCAAGGTTAGATGTCAATTTCTACCCTTCAGTTTCATGCTCAAAAATCCTCGAACGAACACTAAATTGTGAAATCTGAGTCTGTCCCCAGCCAAAGTAGCAGACTTAATGCACCATTAATCTGGTCTGCTCTCAGCTGCCAATTGAAATTGTCACAGTCATTCGATTTTTAAGGAAAAGACAGTACTGCAGAAGTACATTCCAGAGGTCTTTTCATAAAAACCATCCTGTGTGCTCCATCTGCACGTGCAATCTGCTGGGGTATTTTCAGCCAGCTTGCCTGGGCAGATTAATGCATACAATTAGAAAGCAACCTCACAGGCATTCAATAAACTGCCTTCATTATTACACTCAGGAGAGTCCCTTTGGATGTCAATAAAAGCCTAGTTTTCTGCCTGTTAGCTAAATAATTGACAACACTAAAAATAATCAGAAGCAAATGAACGAAGCCAGGAACGAGGTGTTAAGAAAGAGCACATTAAGATTCTCGTGGTGGTGCCCCAGGATGCTATCATGAGCTTTCTCTCTAGCAACTTGGATTTACAGTCTGCTCAAGTCCATGGTTACCCTTCTCTACAGAGAAAAACAACAACAGACGTTCCTGGCCTGCTACTTGAACCGCATATCACAGCACGCTGGAAATGGCAAGGACATGAGGTATTGACTAGGTTGAAAGAATTCCTTACTTGTGTTTCTATTTTGTGTTTCTTGGTCTGACAGCTTTATGAGAATCTAATTTGGGGGTGGGGAGAATGAAGAACAACCTGTTTGGTCTGGTGAAATCTTGATGCTATTAAAAGTCCAACAGCTCTCCTAGACAATTTTCCCCCCATAAAGTGAGCCTAAAAAGAGATGACCAAGGCTTGTTATACAGACAGTCCATGTTTTCTAAGAAGCCCCTTTCATAATTTCAGCTACATAATCATCATTCATTTCATGAACTATTGGTCTTTTAATTTCAAAAGTAGTTAAAAATACTCTTTTAAAAAACTCATATATATACTTCTTATGTTTCTCAATAGGCTTTAAAAATCAATTTGAGATACTTCTCACTTCTAGCCAACTTCTCTTCTCCCTGGTTAACTGGGACTTTCGTGATAAGCAGAAGAAAGACCAAGAGTGAAATGTGCATGTAATTGAATTCAGCTCCACTGATGGTTGTGAGGCGGCTGTGGGTAAAACTTTTTCTTCTTCAGAGAAAAAGAATGAATTGATCTCTGGCATTTAGTAGAACACAAATTCAAAAAGCTGGAAGACTATGAAAGAAAGGAGGTTGGGTGGCGGAACCTCCATGTCCTTTAAAACTGTCTCCCAGCCTTCGCCTTACCATGTTTAAAACTCTCCACAAAATGGACTCATCCAACTTCCCAGTTCTCTACCCAAAACCCCGCATTGGTAAGCAGGTCTTCCCCTCCTCCAGTGTAAAACTAGGATGCCACGGGAGAAATACATTTGTTCTTGTTGTATCTCTAGGCTACAACTGCCCCAAGGCACCCCCTTATCTCCTTCACCTGCTCTGGCTGGCCTAGAAGCGAACCCTCACCCACTCTCTACCCATGGATGGGACTCAGGAATATAGTAACAGTCTTCATTTATCACCTCCTTCCTGCCATTCTCTAAGATAGAATTTCTGGAAGTTAGATTCCCACCAGCTTCCCCACCACCCCCACCCCATGCCTGCCTTGGAAGAAGAGTAGGGAAAGACAGGGTCGGAATTCTATGACTCAGATGAGGGTAGTGCCTATTTTAACTTAGAGAACATAGTGTCACTGATTAGCACTTCCACCCAACCTCATCTCATCTCCCACTCATTTTCTAGCCTGGGTAGCAGAGACCAAGGTCCTAACTTGCTTTGGGGTGAAGCGAAGCACTGAGAAACTTCTGTGCAGTTCCCACCTCTGAGTCTTAAAGCAGGCAGGAGCTGCCGTATGGTAGAGGCAGGCTAATTTCAGTGGAATGAGAAAACACGAACATGCTGTGCCTGCAGGAGAATGATTTAGGGTGTCACATATGCTCACCCCAACATCAGAATAACCTTAAATTCTGCAATGGTAGGAAGAGAAAAGAGGAGGGAGTCAGAGAACAATCCATCTGAGAATGGCAGGTCAATGACTAGGTCTTGTGGGCTGGAAATGTCTACGCAGTCCCAGCAAAATGAGAGTTGTCTGGTCCCATTCAACAAGGACCTCTATGAAAAGTTTCATTTCAAGGCCTTATAATATTCAGGTACTTGTATGCCCTTTGCAGAAGATATTTTATTTCATCCTTACAGATGGCCTATGTAGGAAGATTATCATCCCTATTTAAATTTTTTTTTAAATGAAGTTCGAAGCAGTTTAGTAGTTTGTCAAGGGTGTCACATCTGGGAAACGGAGCTAGGTCTTTGAACTCAGATACGCTTGGCTTTAATTCTACCACATTTGGAATTAACCTAGGGCCAGAAATATGTTCCTTTGGTTGCATGTATTCTTTTAAGCAGTATGTAGGTAACCTAACTACATAAGGTTAGCACACAAGCTTATCTTTAAAGCCTATAAAACAGAGTAGATTATCTCCACTACAAAGCACAGAGTAGTTATCCGGTACATATTAGCTGCTGTTATTCACAAATCACACCAGAGAAGTACCTTGGTGTATAACGACCAATTGGCAGTTTTGCCAATAATTGCTAAATAATTTCTCAATTTTTGTCTACAAAAATGTGCCTGTGTAAGAGTCCTCAATCCATTAGACAAATCCCTAGTTAGCTTAGATTCTGCATGGGTACTTCTTTTCAAACGCCCTCTTCCTTATGTCAGTGCCTTGGAAGTCAATATAACCAGAAGTACCCTAAGCCACCAAAGAATCAAGCCCTCCAAGTTATTTATAATGAAGAATTCCTCAAGTTTAGCAGTATTATTTCTAATCAATTGACTACTAAAAGTACTTTGGTGAGTACAGGTGGAGTTCAACTACATAATTAATATAGCGGCCAATAATCCAATATCAGTTGTTTTGAAAAGCTACTACCACCTAGAATTAAAAAGCAAAATGAATAATATGCCCATAAAGGTACAAAGTTCTGAAACATAAACTTACTATTGCTGATGCTCTCTAAATGCTTCTCTTCTGAGGTTTTCTTGAAGTCTTTTTTTCTCTTCTAGTTTTTCGCTCTGAAATTGCAAATATAAAAATGTAACCTATTAGAGAAACTTAAACAGAATCATGATGTTAAAGTTACCCAAGCGCCAAAATCTTTAGGCTTAAGTGGCCTCAGGAGTCCAATACGGTACCTACCAGGGCTTCAAAGATGGTATCCCTCTCACAGCCCATGGGCACTACACTGAAAGCCAGGGGCCCAGTTTTTGCATTGGCTCTCCTCTTGCAACTTGATTGGTATAATCACATAATCAGTATTTCACATTTTTATTCCTTAGTTCAAATGATAGCAACATTTATATTTTAAGCAGTGTTTTCAAATGTTCTAAGGGAAACATGAAATTTCCACACCAAGTATGTTAAATTAAAATTATAATAAATGGTTAAATAGTTCATACAAAATTTATATATACTAAAGCATTCAGGAAAAGATTTTCAGTAAGCCAACCCAACTCCCTTCTGACTTAGAATCAGACACTTAAAGCTGTTGAGAGACTGGAAACAAAATGTCATTAAAAAGCCATCACTTGAATAGAAAAGAGTTCTCTTTTTTTAAATTAGTTGTTTGGAGAGTCTAGAGACAAAGAGCTTCATATTTGATATTACTGTCACCGTGGCTCTGGCATATTTTAATCCAACTTAAATAACTCAGAACAGTTGCTTTTGATTCACTGCGACACAACTGTCTCTTTTTTTTTTTTTTAAACTTGCCTATGAACAAGTAAAATCCTACACAACAAAGTTAATGGGGAGTTGAAACAAGTTCTACAACATAGGAGAGACTTGAAGTTTTAAATGAATCCAAGGGAGACGTAAGCATCTGGCTTTGCTTTAATAAAAAGCACTGTGTTTGCCCAGGGGGAGGACCTGTGAAAAGCGACTAATGGAAACCATCACTTCCAAACCCTGATGTCAATTTTGCTTCACTTTTCAAAGTGGGGCAGAAATATTCATATTGTTCATTTCCATAAAATTCTTCATTCACACAGACCTATTTACTAGTCCCATTTTGATGATTTCAGTTTTAGAAAAAAAGAAAGGAAATTCTCCACAACCAGAACAAATCACTTATACAAAACAGTTGGATTACTAATAAAACACAGCTCTAGGAGGTAAACTAATAGAGAATTACAAAACTGAATAAATATGATCCCAATCTAGAAAAAAATTCCTGACTCGTGAAACCAAAAGTGGTCCGTTGTGATGAGCTCCCTAAATCCCTGAGGGGGAAAAGGTAAAAGACAGCAAGCGAGCAGTGGGCATTGATTAAACCAGTATTAGGAATGCTCCTTTGAGGACAGTTAAGAAAAACCACACAAGCATCTAGAGACCAAGGCTGGGTTCCTTTAGCAAGGTCAGAAATTTAAAAATGGTTTTAACCTCTTCATAATAGATCACTGAATTCTTCTCACACAAAAACAGTCACTCAATTCCATACAACAAAGGTCTGTTTATCCCTCAGAATTTTATGGAGAAGTATTTTTCAAAATACTGAAGTATTTGAAAAATTGTATCTAATACCTACCAATGCACAGGTACCCAGATACTTGGATCTAATCAGACTGTTTCTTTCTTTCCATTTAACGGTGAGTGAAGGAGTCACCCAAACATACTTAAACATATTTACATAAATGCAGAATGTAAAATATCTAAGAACATGAGATCCAGAAGAAAAATTTATGGGATCAGCTTTAGTTTAATCATCACTGACGGAGTGACCTTAAGTGACTAAATATCACTGAATCTCAACAAACACTTAGCAAACGCCTATTATATTCTTGTACTGTGCTAGATGCTGGGGATGCAGATATGAACAGAGAAGTGCCTACTCTGAACATTTTCAGAAGCTAGCTGGGGACATAGACCAGAAAGCAATGATGGCAACGTGGAAAATATGTTAGAAGATAAAGGTTTACAAATACTGTAATACGAAGACACAGAAAAAGCACAGAAATGGGTCATCGGGAAATGCTCTCGGCAGTTCCACAAACGTTCCTTCGGTGCCTGCTAAATGGCAGACCCCGTCCTGGGCGCGGGAGCCAAGCAGCTGAGGAACACTTGGAACGTGCTTTCTAACCTCAGGTTCATGGCTCATCTGTGGGTTGGGACTATGCTCATTTTTACAGAGAGTGGCCTCATAGCTTTCTTCAGATCCCCCAAGGGACTGATGATCACATGAGAGGACGAGAAGCATGTGTCTAATGAGAGTTAGATACTCCAGATAGAGACCAATCTTAGACAATCGAGAGCTTTCCGGGGAGAGGAGGGGCTGGTGGAGAGGGTTGGAAAGGCTGAGAAACAGGCAGCTTTCAGCTCACCATGCCTTGCTTCCCAGCAGAGGTGTCTTTTTCTATTTCTCACAAAGGTACCATTTATCACCAATCTGAGCACCTGCAGAACTAACTGCCTGGATGGAGCATTGTTTCTAATTTGTACAAAAGCAATAATGGGCTGGGAGTGGCCCTGAACAGGAAAAGGACATTCCCACAGCTTATAGTATTTTCAATGTATAAAGTCATGAGAGAATATTCCAGTTCAGGGAACCCCTGGAAGCTCCTGGACAAATTTAAAGGTGTTTGTACTGAGATGGGTGGAAGATAAGGTTGTGAAAGTAAAAAGGGGCAATATAAAGGAATTTGTATGCCAAGTACAAAAGCCTGGACTTCGCCCCAGCTGGTTTTGCTCAGTAGTTAGAGCCTCAGACTGAAGGGTCCCGAGTTTGATTCCAGCCAAGGGCATGTTCCTTGCTTGCAGGTTCGATCCCTGGCACCTGTTGGGGCGTGTGCAGGAGGCAATCAATCGATGTGTCTCTCTCACATTGATGTCTCTCTCTCTCTCTTTCTCTCTCTCTCTCTATCTCTCTCCCTCCCTCCCTCCCTCCCTCACTCCCTTCCACTCTCTCTGAAAAGCAATGGAAAAATATCCTCGGGCGAGGATTTAAAAAAAAAACTGTTTGGACTTCATTAAAGGCAATGATAAGCCATTATATTATTTTAAGCAGGAAAGTAAGCAGCTCACTCTGAAAGCATCACAGAGAATGGACCACAAATATAAAAACCAATGGAGTGATTCTCACAGTAATCCAGGCCATAAATTATGAGTCCCAGATTAAAGCACCAGGGACAGAGAAGCACAAACTAGAAAAATACAGGAGACAGAAATAACAGGAGTGAAAAAACAAAATAATAGAAAGTATGACTATATCAACGTAGGATGAGTAAAAAAAGAGGGAAGTACAAGATAATGTCATTTAAGAGCATCAGAATGAATATATGAGGTCAGCTTTGAATCTGTTGGACTTGAGATATATCTGTAGAATATCTAGAGAGAAATATCAAGCATCCAGTAAAATATCTGGTCCTGGGATTCAGAAATATGGTCTGGCCTAAAGATGCGGATTTTAGAAATCATCAGCACAAGCAATAACTAAATCCTTAAACATGGAAATGTGGGGGCATCCCCTTAAGGTTAGGGTGCCATAGGCACAGGGACATTGGAGAAGACCAGGGGATGGGACCTGGTGGAACATCAATAGTAGAAAAACAAGTGGAAGAAAAGTATCCAGAAGCATTTCAGAAGGATGGCATTTAAAGGACAGAGTACTTCATAGTTACAATATTACTAAGAGTCCTTTAAATAAGTTAGGAAATTAAAGACTTTCCATTGGGTTTTTAATTAAGAGCACCACTGGTGATCTTGGCTAGATCAATACCAGTGAAGTACTAGAGACAGAAGGCAAATTCAGCCCGCCAAGGAAGGAGTAAAGGCGAGGACTCAAAGAGGGTAAGTTCCTGAGCCAGCTGAGCTCAGCATCACCTGGGGAACACTTTCTAAAACAGATTGTCATTCTGGTGATTGTCAGAGTCAGCCCCCAGGCCGGCATGGAAACCACATGTGGTAGGGAAACTTTCAGGAGCTGAGCCTTGCTGCTTGGGATGGAGGAGTTGAAAGTAAACCAGAATAGAGAGAGAATCTTTGTTTTAAAGATGAGAGACTTGAGTATGATTATATTCCAAGACTGAAAAAATAAAAAACAAGAAAGTGACAGGAAAAAGGGGGCTTACCTGAGGGAGCAGCAAGGTTCCTGAGGAAATGGAGGGGCGGATGCGATGGGAAGCAGCCGGCAGGGGAACTCATGAGAGCAACAAGGAAAAGCACAGCCTTACTCCTCCCGGGATGAGGCGGGGGCAGGGGGAGAAACAGCAGAGGAAGGGCAAGGAAACAGAAAAAGAAAGGTACTTAGGGCCTGATGGCTTTACTTCCTAGAAGGTAAGAGATGAGACGAAAATGAAAGCAGAGGATTTTTTAAAAGTGAAGGGAGGAAAACCTTGGTCATGAGAGATGGGCCTCGACTGCAAAGGAAAAATGTCTGTTAAAGACCCAGCCGAGAGGAAGACCACCCAGGCATCTGGTGTGGCCAAAAAACCCATGAGCCATTTGTTTGTTTGTTTTCTCCAGCAACCTCATTCATGTGAGTTCGGTGGAAATGAAATAACTGACCCAATTAATTCACATGTAAAATAAGAATAATCCCTTCTGCCTGTTTTCAACACCAGAGGTTGATATGGTGGGTCAACTGAGGTAGTGTCAAGGCGCTTCTGTACGTGCATCATTATTTCGGTTAGGGCACCCTCGTTGAGTGTTTCCTGCGTGCTCCTCACTGCATCCTTTAAGCCTACCAGTCCCATTATTATATTTTTAGTATACCCATTTTACAGATAAGGAAAGAGAAGCATAGAGAAGTTAACAGTTTTCCCTCTTAGTGTTACATCTGCATTTCAGAGAGTATCATTAATATCCCAACATTGTGAGATTAATTAATGGGGTCCTACAGCATTTCAACAACCAGAGGTCTAATCCCCTCACCAGTGCACCACAAAGGAATGCCTGATGGAGGAACCATATTTCTGGGAAATACCGATGTTCCTTGAAAGTTTTCAGAAACAGACATTTTCCCTAGTTTATAAAAACAATATTGAAATAATTTTCCCAATGTTGAGTTTTACCCCTAAAATTGTTCTTAAACCTCTAGCCCTTGCTGCTACCAATTTCCTAGACGTAAGTAGCAAATGTGACTCCTTAAAAATATGTATATGTATGCATCTCTGCATCTAATATGTGTGCCTTATTTCCTAAAGGTGAGTTCCTGCTTCACTTCATAGCATTAAAAATAACACTTCCCAGTGTCTGCACAAAACGCCGTGACCTCCAGTGCTCCAAATAACTTTATCGGCTTTACAGCTTTATGGTTTATTGGAAAGAGCAAGGAAAGGCTTTGGATGCCACTCAGATCTCTCGCTGGTTTCCTGCCCTTTCTGAGGTTATGATACCCTAGAGGTTGGGAAAATTAAATGAAAGTATTTGTAAACTATATAGCACTGTATAATATTATTTCAAGCACAAGTAGCTCAAAGGCAGAATAAGATGAACCCAGGAGGTAGGGAGGGTCTTTGATATAGAACTGGGAGGTTTTCATTTTTTAAGTTTGTAGGCATTATGAAAGTTGAAAAAAATCAGTGTGATCACAAGGGGAAAGCATGGTGGAGTTTCGCTCCCACAGCACTAAACTCCAGTGCAACATTGCTGTAAGGATTTATGAAAACTTGTCTCCTTGTGCTGTAAAATCCAGTGCAAAGAAAGCACTTGCATCTGGTATGCTGCCATTTTATTATTTTTAATAACTTGCTTCCACTCTGATGCTCTAAATATTTTAGAGATATTTTCTCTGCTGTACAGATTTCCAGGAAGAGACGTTAATACATCATTATAAAACCACACGAGTTGTATTAACTTCCTGTTGCTGCTGTAAGAATTTACCACAAACTCAGTGGCTTAAAATAACAGAAATTTATTAATAATCATACAGTTCTAGAGGTCAGAAGTCCAAAATGGGTCTCACTGGGCTAAAATCAAGTTGTCAGCAGGTCTGCGTTCCTTCTGGAGGCTCCAGGGGAGCATCTGTTTCCTCGCCTTTCCCACCTCCTAGAGACCCTGCCTTCATTTTCAAAGCCAGCAATGAATGGCAGGCGAAATCTTTCCCCTGCTACTATATCTTCAAGCTCTCAATCTTCCGCCTCCCTTTTCCAATTTAAGGACCCCTGTGATTACATCGGACTCACCTGGATAATGCAAGGTACTCTTTCCCTATTTGAAGGTAAGTCAATGGGCAATCTTAATTCCACCTACAAACTTAGTTCCCTTTTACCATGTAACATAACATAGTCCTAAATTCCAGGGATGAGAATGTGGATGGGCAGGGAGGGGGCCCACCACATGGGTTAAATCTATTTTTAAATCAATAAGTATCAGACACCTAGTGTGGCAGATCCTTCGAAGAATCCTTGCCCTCCTTAGCCAGCTGAGGCTTGGCTTTGGAACGTGGATGGTAGGGAGGGGGAGGGAGACCCTGTTTCCTTAGGGCTAAGCAGTGGTGTGCTGATAAACTTAGCAGGGAGGAGGAGGAGAGGTGGACTTGTGGGCATTATAAAAGTCTGAGAAAAATTATTTACTGATTTCTGTGGTTAATATACTCCCACATGGTAAGTTTCAAGCTCCCAACAGAAAGCCAACTAGTTCAAAAAATCCTGAAATGTAACAATCTATTCTTTTGAAATAGCACACACCTGGGGGAGACTACACAGCCCCAAGTACTCTAGTATAGGGAATACAAACTTGACCGAAGCATACCAGTGCCTCTGCACATCAGCCCTTCACCCTTAGAATTAACTCCTCCTGGACCCCACCGACTGACTGGGTGCTAAGGAGCTGGCTGCCATTCACACCCCTGTGCTTACTGAGGACCAAAGAGCAGCCCCACGTGCTCTCTTACTGCTAGAAGAGAGAGCCTGCAGGAGGCAGCCGATCGATGACTCTCTCATCATTGATGTTTCCCTCTCTCTCTCCCCCTCTCCCTTCCTCTCTCTGAAATCAATAAAGATATATTAAAAACAACAACCTACTACAGCTTCTTAGGACTCTGTGGGGAAGGACAGTAGGAAGAGGGGGGAGGGGAACCACACTACACTCTTTCTTCTCCAGCAGATGAACATTTTTAGGAGGTTTATTTCCCCCAGACCCCATACTAAGTATCAAAACTAAAAACACTTTGAGGTTTAGAATAGATCCTATCCCTAATACTCAGGGAGAGCTGAAGTGGGGTGAACACCAGAGGCCACACTAGAGGCTCTGGGTGGCAGTGGGCTGCTTGGGTTCCACCTGGCTCAGATTCCTGGACAGCAGCCACTTCCAGGGAAGGAGGATGGTGTTTTGCAGGCTGGTGTCCATGAGCGTGTTCACTGTGCATTTTAAAGAATAAATGCTCCATAAGCACAGCCATTATCGCTTCTCTTGGCCATTTTCACACAGCAATGTGAAATATGCCATTTCTAGATGGCTAATGTCCATTTTTCTTTTATCTGATGCAAGCTGCTGAATAGGCTCACATTTAGTATGAAAGCTACAGATTTATATACAACAGGAAGAGCTAGGTCATGGTGGCCGTGGAGGCCAATTACCGGAGAAATCAAGTCTGTGCAAGGACCAGGTCGTTTAGGTAGTTTAGATTAATGCTCCCCAAATGTTTATGTGCACAAGGATCAGCTGGAGAGCCTGTTAAAATGCAGATTCTGGGTCAGAGGGTCTGGGGTGGGGTCAAGATTCTGCATTTCTCACAAGTGATGCCAGTGCAGCTGGTCCAAGGACCACATTTTGAATGGAAAAGGTCTACATATCAATTCTGTCTTCCCATCTCTCACTTTCAGACAAATCTGTACCAATAATTATTATATTTATCATATTAGAAAAGCCAACCCAATTAAGATTTCTATAGTTAGTGATTGCTGGACAGCTAGTGTTATGGTATAACTTGGAAGGGGGAAAAGGCTGCTTTAACTCAACATTAAAACCATTTAGGGCCCGGCTGGGCGTGGCTCAGTGGTTAAGCGTCGACCTGGGATCCAGGCGATCAGGGTTCGATTCCCGGTCAGGGCACATGCCCGGGTTGCAGGCTGCAGCCGATCAATGACTCTCTAATCATTGATGTTTCTCTCTCTCTCTCTCCCTCTCCTTTCCTCTCTCTGAAATCAATAAAGATGTATTTAAAAAAAAAAAAACAAAAAACCATTTAGGCCACTAACATTTCTAAATCATATACATTACTTGACCCGTGAAGAAATTAGCTATAAATGACCCACAAGCCAGCCAGTTCCAGGTATTAAATGACAACTAATAAATGAGTTTTAGGTTAAGAAGTTGCAACACAGTAATTCCTCAGAATCTGTGCCTCTTCATTCAGTTCTTGGTGATGATTTAATGATATTCTTAATCCTGCCGGCAATGCACACAGACTACCTTCTATGTGAAGGGAAACAGGGAGGGGAGGAGAAGTTGAATGAAAAAAGAGTGGAGAATAAAGAAAAAGAAAGAGAGAGAAAGATAGGTTAAAAGTTATTATAATAAAAATGTTTTCAGTGAGGGTGTGTGTCATAGCTGGTCAGTTGGAAAAGGATTGCTGAATCAAATTTTGTAAACAAAGTTCCTATACTCTTTTTTTTATATACCTCCAGCATTTCACTACAGTTCCACATGTGTAAGTCCAGTCTCATCTCCTCCCCAGAGCCTACATCTCTATAGACATAGCATCTAAATCTACAGATCTTACTGGGCCTTGGGAGAAGAGGAGGTGGGACTTATAGACTCATTTTACAGGAATAGTTCAGGGAGGGGTATGGTCTGCTCAAGGTCACACAGCACAACAGGATGCCTTCCAAGAAGAATTTCATCTGATCCCCAGCAGGTAGAGAGCTCCTCAAGGGGAGAAAAGACTCATATACTCTCATACATTCTATAAGTCTTCAGCTTTTGGCTTCATTAACTCTAACTTGTAAAATTATTCATTGTTTAGGAACCAGGCTTAGATCTTGACCAACATTCAATCTTTAAAAGGAAAAAGAAGGGGGGAAGAGAGCAAGAGCAGGAATAGGAATTGTTTCCATGACTTATATCTGCAGCATGTGTCATACTGGGTGCTCAGTATTATGAGTCAACCCCTTGCCCCTAAACCTTCCGCACTAAAACCTACTACAGCTTAGGACTCTGTGGGGAAGGACAGTAGGAGGAGTGGGGAGGGGGAACCACACTACAGTCTTCCTTCTTCTTTAGCAGATGAACATTTTTAGGAGGTTTATTTCCCCAAGCTCCAGAATAAGTATCAAAACTAAAAACACTTAAGGTTTAGAATAGATCATATCCCTAATACTGAAGGTCAAATGCACTCTCTCTCTTCTGTCAGTAAGAGAGCATGTTCACCTATTTCACACTCAGCCTGGAAAAGTCAACATGTGGATATGAACATGGTGCACCACTGATTTCCATTGTTACTAACTGCCCTGCTTATAGCCAAATGCACAGTGACTCCTTTGATCACTCGCCTGAGGGTCAAGGTAGTGTGGTGACAGAGAACTCTAGCTCCGAGGCCCGTCAGCCTGGGTTTGAATCCTACTTCTGTTTACCAGCTGTGAGCCCTGGGCAAGTTATCTACCTCTCTGTGGCAGTTTCCTCATTTGTGAACTTGGGTAATAAGAGTAAGATATAGTTCGTAGGGTTATTGCGAGGATTAAATGAGTTTGTTTGTACATGGACCGTGTCTAGAAGAGATCCAGGCACATGAAACACTTTCAGTCAATACTAACTAACCATCCTTCCCACCATCTTACCTTCTTTCTCTGAATTGCCTTCATTTGTTGGATTTCAGCTTCTTCAGCTTCCTTCTTGATTCTTATAGCCTCTTCTCTTTTTAGCTAAATTATGTTGAGATTACAGAAGACAAAAAACAGTTACTGTTTTTCAGTCTAAACCTCTGGAACATAAAATTATGATGAAAAGTAAATTACAGTATTGTTTGTGCTGTACCTTGCCATGATTATAAGTTGGTACTTCAAGCTACTTAGAGCACAGAGACGAGCCAGGCTAATTCTGCCTATGAAATTTCTCTTTGTATTTCTTCCTTGGTCTCTGTCTCTCTGTCTCTCCCCCACCCACCTCGCCACCCTCTGGGTTGGGGAGGAAAAAAGCTGGGCAGATAACTGTTCCTGATTATAAAATTCATAGAGTTCATTGTAAAAAAAAATCACTAAGCACCTTAAATCTTTTCCTTTTTTACTACTTTCATGACTGTTATTGGGTAAACAAATCCCTGTTGTTGGAATCAAAGTATTCAAAACATAGTACAGCTAACTTAAACAAACAAAAAAAGACATTAATCAGAGGTCCTACGGACTAATAAATGGCTTGGATGAAAATTCCAGATATTTATCTCTTCACTTCTCAGTTCCTGATTTCTTTGCTTTTGAGGGTTTCCTTTTGCAATTGGTTGAAAGGTTTTATACTTCTGACTAGAAACTGCTAGTGCTCAAATTCCTTGCCAAACTTAAACTAAGAGAGATGGATTCTGACCTTTTGCTGGTATTTAGATTGCATCAGCTGAAGTTGTTGTTTCTGCCTCACTTCAGCCTCTGATTGGCTTCCACCTAAGGAAAAAAAAGTCACGAAGTTGAAACATGAATGCTAAGCTGAAATGTCAGCCGTCAGAAACTAATTAATACATGATAAGACTACACCATGAGTTTCTTTAACATTTTCATACCTCTAGAAATAAGGATATAACCAGTTTTCATAGTAAGACATTAAAGAATAGTAATCGCTTAAACGAGAAACAGAGCTAGTCAGAAAGACCATATTCCTGAAGGAACAGGACAATTCTACTAGAGTTTTCAGTCATGTCAGTATTCAAGTTTTCATTTAGATTGAAATCATACCTGAAGGTCCATACTAAATAATAAGAAATAGTGGCTGTCTTGGAAATTCTAGAACATTCCTCCTGCTTGAATATAACCATTTCTTAACCTAATAAAGATTATGATCAATGATGCTTCAATTGCTTTTCTTCTTCTGACCTTATTGCCCTGTATTCAGGTAGCAAAACTCAGGAAACCCTCAGGGCTCTTGCCATTAAACGAATATGTAGTCTTTATAACCCAGTTTTTAAAAATACAATGGAGCCCAGCTGGTGTGGTTCAGTGGCTGAGCCTCGACCCATGCACCAATTTGGTGACCCTGGTGTAGGTTTGCTCTCTGGTGGGGGCATGCAGGATGCAGCCAATCAATGTTTCTCTCTCGCCCTCTCTCTTCTCTCTCTAAAAAATAAAAACACATTTAAAAAAAAAAAATACAGTGGAAAAATTCTAGTTAGTAATTGATTATCAATCTATACTATTGATTGTTCTTTCTTTATGTATTCAAGAGAAAAATATGAATGTTAGATTACTTGCCTGCTCCTTCTTAAACTTAAAATAATTTGGGGCCAGAATGCAGCTTGATAATCATCTAAGAACTGCTGTTTAGGGATTTCTCAGTGTTTATGCAACCTTGCTGTGTATATTTTAAAAATCCCTTTGAAATAATTCTCTGGTGTTTTGGTCACTAAAAGTGTCAGTTCTCTGAAAGATTCACTCTCACAGAAGATGCATTAAAACAATTTGCATTCATCATAGTTTTTATAATTGAACTGAAAAAGACACCATAGAGACGTCTCATCTGAGCCCCAGAAGAAATATAAAGTTCTGTTTGCTTTTGGCCTTTTCATCTTGTTGTGGGAGATGGAGGACAGGGAAAGAAAAAGTGAGGTCTACTGAAGCTTTATCTAATGTTACAGCCACTTTCAATATCTCTTCAAACTATTCCAATATTTTAAGGGGTAGAGGAATAGGGGGAAAGCTGAGGATAAAAATAAATTAAGAAAGTCAGAAGTCTAAGCATTTACAGATTCTGTTCAAAAATCATCAAAAAGTTTAATACATTCTAGAACTTTTTTTCTACTCCCTAGCCTCTTCCCACACAGATATCTTGATATGTGAAAAATGAGATTTGAAGACAATAGGCACCAACCATTCCAAATTCCAAAGCCAGGTACTCGAGTCCCTAAGCAGCATCTTCAAGGGGGTAGCTGAGCCAGTTTGGGGAACCCTGACTAGCAACTACCTTCAGCCTATCAAAGAAGTTGGGTAGGTCAAAGGGAGGTAGAAATCAGAGGAAAGATGTCTTTGTGGATTCCATCTTCTCTGTGTGTTTGGGGAAGGAGGAATCTTCACATAAAGATGAGCAAGAGAGGTTGAATGAAAATTACTTGGAGATCTCAATCTGTATCCCCAAGAGACTGAGGGACATAGTGGACCCATGCCTAGAAAAGTCAGAGCCTAAAGGCTGTTGTCAGTTGGCTACTCAGATAGATCATAAAGAAGTGGTGGCTGCGTGGCAAATGGCCTATGTTCCCAGAGTTTGTAAGGATAAACAAGTGCATCCTGTACTCCCAATCTGGGTTGTCATGAAGGAGAATGTTAATCTAAAGCTCTGCTGAAGGGACTTGCCCAAGTGGGCCGCCTAGAGGAATAATGCAACCCTACAGAGAGGCTACCTACCAAGAGCCAATGGTGAAGCCACGTGTGTCAGCAGGGAAATATTTCATCTCTATCGGGAATCCAGGTCAAAGATGGAAGGCAGGAAAGGAAGAACTCTGAAGAACTCTGAGAACCCCAAGGGGGAGGATGCATATACCAAGAATGAGAAACCATGATTAGTGCACTACAGACCCCTATCTCCCTTCTCTCCCCTTCTCCCTTTGACCCTGGAAGGAAAGCAGAACAGTCAAGAGAGAAAAATTCCGGAGATTAAAGATGGAGGTAGACTGAGTGGAAGCTACATTGACTCTCCCCTGGGACCAAACTGAAATTACAACTAAAGTACAGAAAAACTACCCTGAATAATCAACTGCAACTGAAGATGAGCTGGAGAGCACCCTCATAACCAAGAAGGAAAAGTGGAGACTGCATAGAGACTGGTAGGAAGTGTGGAGGCACGAGAGGGCTGGTTGGGCACCCACAGGCAGCAGCTCAAGGTCCAGAGGGATATCTCAGCTGTAGGGGGTTCCCACTGAGGAATCTGGGGTCTAAACCCCAGGCTGGGCTTCTCAGCCAAGAGTAGCAGAACTGAGAAGGGTGCCCACATAACATCCGGCTTTAAAAAGTAGCCAGTCTTCTGTCTGCCAGGGAGAAATCGCTGGAAAGGCAGGCACCCTCGTAAAGAGCCAATGCACAAAGTTTCGTGTGCAGCCACTCACCTTGGGCTCCAGCAGAGGGAGAATAAAGTGAACTGGAGCTGTGTGAGGAGAATCTAGGGTTGTGGGTTCTGGAGACTGAGATAAGAAGGCACCCCTCTGGATACCTGTGCCAAGTCATTCCCCCATACTACAGAAGACATCTTTCTTAGGCAGGCAATTGGCTGCTTTTGCCTGGGGGAAAAGCAATTGCCCCACCCTGCTGGAAAACCTTTCACCCTACCCAGAGGAGTTTCTACAGCCTGAGGCTCATTAAGAGAATCAGATTAATCAACTTTCAGGTAGAGGCAGATCTCAGAGTGCTTTGAGTCTTTGCCTGATTTGCTTCTGGACCTGGGCCTTGGAAAAGCAGACTTTGGTGTACATCTTGGTCCTCTCCAACTGCACCCAGCCTCAGCAGAGGGGACCTTAAGCTGAGGATTGTTGATAACTCCAAACAGGGTACTCAGCACCAGTCACAAACTGCGTCTGACATTGGCCTGCACCAGAGACTCTCCAAAAAGACTGAGTCCTAGCAGATCTACCTAATACTTAGAAACAAACCCAAACAGGCAGCCAAAATAGAGAGACAAAAAAACAAGCCGCAAATGAAAGAACAAGAGAAGCCTCCAGAAAAAGAGTTAAATGAAATGAAAATAAGCAATCTATCAGATATAGAGTTCAGAATACTGATTGTAAGGATGCTCAACAGCATAAGAAAAGATATGGAAACTATGAAGGAAATTAAGAATGATATAGCAGAAATAAAGAATACATTGGAAGGAATAAACAGCAGATTAGAGGAAGATCGGATCAGTGAATTAGAAGACAGGGTAGAAAAAAATCACTTAGAGATCCAAAAAGAAAAAACAATAGAAAAACAGGAGGACAACCTAAGGGAGCTGTGGGACAACATAAAACATAACAATATTTGCATTAAAGGAATGCTAGAAGAGTTTGAAAGTAAGCAAGGGTTAGAGGACCTGTTTGAAGAAATAATGGCAGAAAACTTCCCTAACCTGGTGAAGGAAAAAGTCACACAAATTCAGGAAGCACAGAGAGTCCCAAGCAAGAAGAATCCAAAGAGGCCCACGCCCAGACACATCATAATTAAAATGCCAAGAATTCAAGACAAAGAGAGAATCTTAAAGGCAGCAAGAGAAAAGCAATCTGTTACCTACAAAGGTGCTCCCATAAGGCTGTCAACTCACTTTTCATCAGAAATTCTACAGGCCAGAAGGGAATGGCATGAAGTATTCAAGGTAATGCAAAACAAGGATCTGAAACCAAGACTACTCTATNCTACAGGCCAGAAGGGAATGGCATGAAGTATTCAAGGTAATGCAAAACAAGGACCTGAAACCAAGACTATTCTATCCAGTGAGGCTATCATTTAAGATAGATGATGAACTAAAGAGCTTCCCAGACACAAAAAGGCTAAAGTAATTTATCACCACCAAACTAGCATTGCAGAAATTGTTAAAGGAACTGCTGTAATTAGAAGTAGAAATAAAGAGAAACATAGGCATAAAGAAGTAAAATGGCAATAGATAAGTATCTATCAATAATAACCTTAAATGTAAATGGAGTAAATGCTCCAATAAAAAGACCTAGGGTGGCTGAACAGATAAAAAACATGACCCAAATATATGCTGTCTACAAGAGACCCATCTCAGAACAAAAGACTCACACAGGATGAGAGTGAAGGGATGGAAAAAAAACTTTCCATGCAAATGAAAAAAAAAAAAAAAAGCTGCAGTAGCAATACTCATATCGGACAAAATAGACTTCAAAATGAAGACCATAATGAGAGACAAGAAAGGTCACTACATAATACTAAAGGGATCAATCCAAGAAGAGGCTATAACCCTAATAAACATATGCACCCAATAAAGGAGCACTTAAATTTATAAAAAAACTTCTAAGTCAACAAGATGGCAGCATAGGTAACCATTGTACCTGTCACCTCCCACAGCCACATCAAAATTACAACTAAAATACAGAACAACCAACACTCAGAATATCCTGAAATCTAGCTTAACAGAAGTCCTACAACCAGGGAACTGAAGAAGCATTGAGACCGGTAGGAGGGGCGGAGACATGGGTGGGTAGGGGCTAAATCACAGAGACTCAGCCATAGTCCCATACCCAGNGCGGAGACGTGGGTGGGTAGGGGCTAAATCACAGAGACTCAGCCATAGTCCCATACCCAGGTGCTTCAGTTTAAAACCCAGAGGGTTATCTCAGCGATGGAGGTTTCCATCAGACCCCAGCCCAGGGTTCCAGGGCCAGGAAGAGAAGTCTGCACAACTTTGGGCTGTAAAATCCAGCAGGGACAGTCACTGAGGAACGCAGAGGCTGTTGGGAGTCCCAGGCAGCTCCTCTTAAAAGGCCCATGCATGAACTCTCTCAGACACGCTCCCTCTCAGCTCCAGTGCTAGGCAGCAGCTTGAAAGGAACATGAGACATTTGGGGAGGAACTAACTTGCCTGAAATTGGGGCGAGAGGTGAAGGGGCAGCTTTCTCCCAGACACAAGAGCTGGCAGAGGCCATTGCTCCTTTGGCGAGTCCTCCCCCTACACCTGGGGAAAGAAATAGACTTACAAGTCCAGGGAGCAGAGTCCTAAACAAGAGGAACCCAAAGAGGCCGACACCAAGACACACCATAATTAAAATGCCAAAGGTTAAAAAAAATGAAAGAATCTTAAAAGCAGCAAGAGAAAAGCAATTCGTTACCTACAAGGGAGCACCCACACAACTGTCAGCTGATTTCTCAACAGAAACCTTGTAGGCCAGAAGGGAGTGGCAAGAAATATTCAAAATGATGAAAAACTAGAACCTACAACCAAGATTACTCTACCCAGCAATGCTATCATTTAGAACTGAAGGTCAGATAAAGAGCTTCACAGATAAGAAAAAGCTGAAGGAGTTCAGGGAAAAGAGAAAACTCCCAAACCAGTACTACATGAAATGTTGAAAGGTCTTCTTTAAGAAGAAGCCAATGAACAAAATAATCTGACAAACTATATAGATCCAGAGACATTGATGCATGCAACAGACGATCATATTTCAGAAGGAAGAGGGAAGGGGGGTGGAGGGTAGGAAGAGATTAACCAAAGAAGTTATATTCATATATGTGTAACCCATGGACACAGACAATAAGGGGGCAAAGGTCT